AGGCTCTCGGGGTTGGCGGCGGGGGAGTCCTGCTGGGGCAGGGTGCCGTTGCTGTGCTCGCTCCGCAAGGAGGAGAGGGAGGTGCGCAGCGGGGAGCGGACCACGGAGGCCATGCCGTAAGGCACGCTCTGCCGCACGCCGTAGCCGTGCCGCATGCCGTTGGTGAACTGGCCCTGGTACGTGCCTGCGGGAGAGAAGAGGGAGGGGTGAACAGGCAGCTTGCTCCTGGGTGAGCCAGCAAAGGAGGGTGGGCTGTGGGGCAGCACTGCCCTAGAGTGGACGTACCCCCCGTCCCTGGAAGAGAGGAGCCCCGGCTGCAGCAGTGCTCACCCGCATGCACAAGCGGCAGTGCCCAGGGAGCGGAGGGCCGAGGACACGAGCCCGAGAGCCACTGCTGGCAGGTGACAGCTCATTGGAAAGGGGCTGGGGTGCCAGGGGACACTGGTGCAGACCCAAAGACACTTAACGGGTGGGGTCTGGATTTGCAGCTGGAGCAGGGAGTGAGAGGCAGCCCCGTGGGGCTGGAGCTTGGGGTGGCAGCAGCCCCAGCGGACACGGAAGCTGCGGTGGCACAGCTCTCCTTGGCTCAGTGACAGTCCCTTTCAGCCCGTTCTGCAGTTTGTCACTCACAGGCTGCCAGGACTGGCTCTAGACCCCCAAGACGGGTGCCTGGCCATAGCACAGGCTGCCCCTGCACCCACATCTGCTTGGCCCTGGCATACAGCTTGTCCCTGGTCCCAAGACCAAGGCTTGTGCCACACTGCATGAAGCAAGAGATGGGCGAAAAAGGGAGGAGAGGAGCAGAGCAGCTCTGCGTGGGGTTACTCCAGCTCTGCCCCAAAAAATGCCACCCTGCCACACTCCTCCAGACCCAGCTCAAGAGGGCACACAGTGACGGGGGAACGCAGAGAGGGTCGTGTTCACCATGGCAGGGCTGCACCCCAGGTACAAGAACCCTGCTGAGAGCCAGCAGGACCTTGGCAACGACACCTTGAAGGATTGGGAAAAGCACATCGCTCCTCTCCAGGCCCCTCCAGGTCTGCACCTTTGCAGGCTCCAGAAGAGTGAACTGGAGACCACCGCTCTGATCTTTCTTTCTAGGATGTCAAGAGATTTAAATCAGTAGCATCAAAGCCCCCCGCAAGAAGAGCCCCTAGGGGGGCAGGAGGGCTGGCGGGCAGCCTTGCGCTCACGTGCCAGCACAGCCTCCCCATCCCACCGAGCCCTGCGGGACAGGACGGGAC